ATGACGAAGCAGATGAACCAGTGACGACACAAAAGGGTGCTTCTTCGGTAATGCTGGCAACAGTGGTCCCCTCTGGCAAAAGAAGTGGTTCTGGCGTCGTGTTGCAGGCCGTGATGCTGGCATAACCACGGGAGAACCGCACAAAACAAGATGCGATGGTGATCCCCCAAAAAATGCAGCGCTGGCAAGGAACAACTACAGCGTCACCATCTAGAATGTCTCGTGACTTGATCGTAAGGACACGTTCTTGTCCGGGAGGCAGGTGGAAATCCGCAGCTGTCACAAGGTTGGGCGACGAAAGGTCGGCAGCAGAAGAAAGCTCAGTGTCCTTAATACGAATGAGGGGCCAACCACACGATATTACAGCAGACGCCGCTGACATGAAGTCCCAGCCTAACATTATCTGATAAGCGCACGAAGACAGCACAGTATGTGATGACGAATTCCATCGATGAGAATACGAGCAGTGCACAACCCGGTCGGGCGAATGGGACTGTCATTAGCGCCGCATTACATGGGACCGGAATAAGGAGTTTGCACTTTACGCAGGCGAAAACACAATTCACGATCAATTAACGAAATTGCGGCTCCAGTGTCTATAGGGGCGTCAACAGAAACACCTTCCACACAAACAGGCAGCAAATTAGCTGGACGAGACGGAGGAGTTGTAACGTTCCGACAATAAGCAATTTCCCCTCCAAAAACTGCACCTTCTAGTTTTCAGAGTCCAGAGAGATCGGAGCGGGACGCAGGGGTGATGACGTACGCCGAAACGGTGACGGAGAACGGCGGCGAGATGAACGACAAGGATGAGGCCCAACATGAGACCGTGGAGGGGAGGGCGACTGACGGGAGGTTAATGGATATGGTGCGCGATTGTATTCATCGGGTCTCGGGGCAAAGTCTCTCTGGTAAGCTGAGTAACCACGTCGTTCATCCTGCTGACGGCGGCGGCAGAAACGGGATATATGACCCCTTATGCCACAGTAAAAGCAGATGGGGCGCGGAGGGCGCCATGTAGAATGTTGGCGTGGCTTTGGCGCTTGCGTTGTCATCGCAGCCACATGGTCGCATCGGACGTCCGCAGGCACGGTTGGAACTGGTGCAGGGGCCCACGATGCAACTTCTGCGTACGAAGGCACTGGGAAGCGCACAAAGAGACGGGGCATGTGCAGCGCTTGTCATTGATGCCAGTTCGTCCTTGATTATCTCTCGCAGGTCGGAAAGAGGTTTGTGGACAGACGCAACGGTAGAGTTGCCTGGAATAAGGCCGTGAAGTTCTTCTCTGACAATTTTGCGGATAAGGGCCCGCAATTCATGCTCTTTGGTAAAGCGAGCATCGCAGGAGGCGTGTGGAGGGCGCATGGAGTGAAGCGCGTCGAGGCGTTAGCATGTAGTGATGACGTCCTGGACGGTAGTCGGATTCTGGATCACGAGAGCATTGAAGGCCACTGAGTTGATACCTTTCAGTAGATGTCGGATTCGATCGGCCTCCGTCATTTTTGTGCTCGGGGACAGAGAGCCAGAATATCTTCAATGTAGGACGTATACGATTCGTCGTCCCCCTGGATGCGGGTTGCGAGCTTCTGTTTCGCTACTACAGAACATCCTGCAGAAGTGCCAAATACCTGACGGAGATGCCCCGTGAAGGCCGACCAATTGGAGAAGTCGCTCTCGTGGCTGTAATACTAGGTTTTAGCGACGCCATCGAGGTAAAAAGGAATGTAGCGCAGTTTGCGCACCTCGTCCCAATAATTACAAACGCTGGTTCGATCATAACTGTCCAGCCATCTTCGACGTCTTCGTTGAGAAGGCCGGAAAATACCGGAGGGTTTCGATGAGAGGTGCTCACGGTGTAGTGAAGCCTAAGTGGATGAGAAGGAGCGGTTGCTGCAGCGGACGCGTTGGGTTCTGCCATCGCTGTTGCTTGAGGGCTCAAACATCGACCACGTCGGAGCTCCAGGGGTGACGGGTAGAGCAGGAGGACGTGGGAACCAAAGCACGCTCCACCACTTATGAGACCACGTCCGGTACGGCAGCAACCAGGTTATCTTTTTTTAATTCAGACGCACGAGCCAGAGAGCGAGCCCGCGTGACATACGATGATGATCACTACAATGCTTTGGTCATACAGATGAAGATGAAGTACATAGTCAGCGCTCACAATATATATATATATATATATATATATATATATATATATATATATATATATATATATATATATATATATATTTATACCCATTCAAAATAACAACCGATGTCTCATGGTTACATCTTCTATTATTGTGTGCATAGGGAAATCAGCAAACCGCATCAATTCGCAATGCAACGCTATTGAAATGAAGGAAAATTCAACAATGAAGAGTTTTGGGGTGGAGAGAGGCTTCATCGTGTAGGTGCCGGCGAAATCAGTATTTTCAGGTTCGCCGTAGGCCAAGCACGATAGCCGGCATTTGCAGTTTAATAACTTGTGGATAAGAAACGATTATCAAGCCTCCCGGTCATGTAATGGAACTGGATTGAAGTACTACCACGTAAAATGTGTGAAAAGAGTGGCCAAATTCATTAAAATGTGTAAAGAGAGAAAGGTGGGGTAGGAACTTACGTGTGCTCTGTGGTTGCCGATTGTGATCTCTAACACAGTCTCAGTTAGACCAACGTACTGGGCGTCAAAAAAAGGCGCATTCGAGAAGGTAGATGACGCTTACGCTGTCACAATTGAATTTGCATTTTATTTGATGAGAAATTGATGATGCGGTACTTGTGAAGATGGATACCTTGTTTAACATTTGACTGATTATTCACCTAAGTTTGTTGCAGGGGCGGCTGCTGTGTATTCTGGAGCGCTAACTTGAGAGGGCGTTACAATATTTTTTAAGGTTCCTTGCAGGTCTGTAGACGACGCGTGGAGGCTTCGTGAAGACACACTGACTTTTGTCGCTCTCAAGAAAAATGTTGTGGTGCCTTTTGGGGATGCGGATTAGTTGGGGGAGAACTTGAATATGTTAGAACAGGATTGGGAGTAAAATTTGCGGAATTGAACTTTGCGTCTTTTATCAAATGGCGGTAATCCTGATTGTCATATTTTTTTATCAGCGACATTTATGACAAACTGCGGGTATTGTTTTCCGAGTTAGGACCTTGCTTAGTTGTTGACAGAGGTGAAATCAGCCTGTTCAGAACATGTACGCCTAAACTGAAGACATTGACTTTATGGTATGCCAAGTTAACAGTGCTTAACGTGGCTGCTGCCAAAGTGGAGGTATTGGTGTCTGCCAGTCGGTTTCTTGTTAATGGAGGTCACAAGCTTATCATCCAAAGATATTTATGACGAGTTGAGGAAGTCTATGGTAAACGCAGAATATCAATTGAATAATGAAATATTCTCGTGAGCATTGTCGAAATCACCTATGAAATTTATAAGCTTCTCTTCTCCAAGGCACCAAAACAGAAAGATGTCATCGCAAACTTTCAATACAACAAGGGGTGGAATGGGGCGCTACTTAAGCATTTTGACTCCAATGTACTCCTAAAGAAATTGGCATAGTTATTTTTGTTAAAAAGATAATGCAATTCTTATTTTGATTCATTTCTCTTTCTTCCCCGGGAAACACGTCGGTTCACAACTAATGATGCCGACACCGACACTTTGGTGACGCTGACTATTTCAAGCTATCGTTTTATTATTAGTCACCAGTACCTTGAACACATAGACAGCGTTAACCTGAAGCGGAGAGCCTACCCCTCTCCTTCACTATAATACTTTGACCTCGTACTTACACTACTAGCTCTTATTAGCTGATGATGCAGCCCACTCCGCTCATGAAGTATCACGTGTGGTCCCAATTCCTCTATCAAGAACTGACGCAGCAAGACAGCTTTACTTGATGGCTCGAGATATTACACGCACGTTCTGGTCGTCTACAAACTTCGAAAGGTATCGTTTATGTAAATGGATTCTTCACTCACGCTGCAGCTACGATCGCAACTTTCCCGCTCGGATGGGACACTGTCATGCCGCCTTTGGTTGGGTGTTGCATTCACAAAGACATACTTATTTCACATCGGTATGGTAGACACCTCTACATGCGACTCCTGCGGAGCTCAAGAGACCATCCAACACGTTCTGGGCAGGTGCGCTTGCTACGAAACCCAGCGATGTCAGCTTCGGATGGTTTTGAACCAACTGAAGTAAAGAGCATTATTTGTGCAGAAGACTCAGGCACCTTGGGCATGTGCCTCAATACCGCAGAAACCGACCAAAGCGTTATTACAGTATTTCAGCACAACAAACCTGAGTGGCCGCTTATAGACTGTGTGTGCTCCCCCAAGTGTGCTCGTGGTTTTGTCGATTTGCTCTCTCCTACCTCTTTTATTCTCTTCATTCTCTTATCTCAGTGCAGGGTGGCAAACCGGAAGTGCATTTGGTTAACTTTCCTGCCTTTCCTTCCATCTGCATCTGTCTCTCTTTCTCCCTGCACTGCCAGCTCGTGCCCCCATTGTGGGGACGCAGCTAACTTGGAAAATAGGCTCTGACAATGCCCCTTGATACTCGGCAGTGATCATGCCAACCCGGCCAAGTGGTGCTTCGCCATTAAGAACCCCAACAAGGAGGACCAGCTCTAGGAGAGAGGCCCCAACGCGGCGATCAGGCTTAGCCTGTGCGTTCATCGTGGAAGAATCCCATTGCGAGCTAGTTCAGTTTTTCAGGAGTAAAAATGAAATTATTCCGTATATGTACTACCGTACAGCTTTCTAGCTTGTCTTGCGTTTTGATAAAGTCTAAAATAGTCCTTGCAGCAGTTTTCGACACTGTTTGGTCGCACATACGCATCACATATTCCTGTCCCTATCATCATTCCTTATGTCCTGTGTAGAATTGAGTGCACCAGCAGAGACCGGCCTCTGTGCCTTTTAGTGAATTCTACCTCTCTATTTCATCTATCGACAGCTTGATTTAGAGACTGACACTCAAGAAAAGAAATACTGGTCCTCACGAAAAATTCCAGAACTTTTTAGATTTGACTTCCAACTCCTTATGCTTCTTTCCATAGGTGGTCCCACGGACGTTTCCGAGCCACACGTCGTATCCATTGTCAGCCAGTACGTATCCTGAAATATCGCATTGAAAAGAGAACAAATTACATATGTAAAAAAGAAGGTCATGTTCTCAATTTAAAAAAAAGGCTTGCTTGCTTAACCAGGCTCATCACACTTTTAATAAGTATAGTATAACTTGTCCAAATAATTTTATAGGTCATGTACATCGCTTGTTGTCCAAAAAAATTGACACTGAGGCCATGTCGATTCTGATACAGACGTGGTTGCTTCGTTTGTTGTGCGGCCATACATCTCAAAAATAGAATTCATATTGCTCGATATAAGAAACATTTTTTTCGCCGTATTAACCTTGAATATCACGAAAGCTAATGACAGCGTGCAGCATGTGAAACTGCTATATTCGCTTCAGGGCTTAAGACTGCCTCAATACCGTGCGGCCTTAATCTCTGCTTTTTTAAGTGATAGATAATTTTACTGCCCGTAGTCTGGCACGCACAAATGACGCAGGAAACGTACTGACACGTACACATGAACGTCAACAAGCGTCTCAGTTGTGACTTTGCTGAGTTTGAAAATCGCGCCAAACTTGCCACCAAACGGAGAGTGCAACGACTTCAGTGACCTTTTTGCGCCTGGTAACTGCAACAGAATTGTTCCGGTGAAAGCCCAAGGCAAGCGAAGACGTACGATTGTCCTTACCGTGAGATGTGCGGCAGAATCACCCTGGAAAACCCACGTATTCGAATAAAAAATATTGCAGCATATCCACGGAGTGAATGATAATGAGTGGGGCGTAGCTTCGATTGGTTTATTCAGGAAACTGTAAATCACCCGCTGGCCACGTCCGTCCGTCTGTCCGTAGTTCGTCTGTCTGTCTTTCGGCGTGTCTGTTTACCTGTCTGTCCGTCCATCTGTCTGTCGCTATGTATGTCTATACGTCCGTCTGCCTGTACGTATGTCTGTCCGTCTGTCCGTGTGTACGTCTGTCTGTCCGTCCGTCCGTCGATCCACACTATCTAATGAACACTCCAAGTACCGCCATCTTAAATCTTTCCATAGTATATTTCAATACACGTACCGCAATCCAGCGGACATTTCAAGGACTGAAACGAAAAGTGGCTAGTACGTAGAGGAAACCCAAGACCTACGCCTTAAGGAGCTTTGCCCCTAAAAGTGCTCAACATCATGAGGCACGTAACGTGTTTTCTTTTCTCATCGCAACCTACCCTACTTAGCTTCCAGCACTTTTGTTGGGACGAGGAAAGAGAAAAGCAATCTTTTAACTCCGCTCGTACTGGACTGATTCTTAAATTTTGGAGGTGTTCAATTCGTGAGGCAATCGGCTCTTCAAGTGAATCCACTTCATGATTACATAAAAAGTGTTTTAGGGAATCTTTAACTTATCACTTTGTTACGTGGGCGGTGGCAATGCCGCTCCAGCAGTAAACGAAACAGTCGGATCATGCCAAAAGAAAAGCTGCCAGTTTCATTCACACTTGTGAACATATAGCAAAATAAAAGAAAGAGAGATGGGGGTGAAAGATTGCGCACTTGAAAATTGCGCACATGCATACTTGAAAGCTGAGGTCACGTTATTCAAACGGAGAGCTCATTCTTCTTTTTGTGAAACTCGGCGATTGCTCTAGCTTCCAACTCAAGCTTATGTGGCCAACCTTCAAGTGTGTACTTGTGAACCTGGAACAGTACCTCATCCGCAACGAAGATTACCTGAAGTTCCTTCAATGGCAAGGCTGGCTGATCTCACTCAATCAGAGCCAGAACCCTCATCCTGCTTTTGTCTTCCTGTAACGGTTGTGGTAGACGGCTCAGAACATCGACATTGCACATATGTTTACCAGATCGATGTTGCAGTCGATATCGATAGGCCCCAAGTATGATGGCGCAACGCAGAATACTAGCGGCAGCCATAGCAGGCGTATAAAGATCGGCGCCTAAGAGACCCAGCATTCGTGGATTGTCGGTGATAAGCGTGAACTGTCTGCCCAGAAGATAATCTCGGAATCGCGTGACGCCATAAACCAGGGCCAAAGCCTCACGTTCGATCAGTATTTTTATGCAGTAGTCAGGGTCCTATACCTAAAGCCAGGTGGTTGATACAGTCTTTCCGTTCGGTGAAATAAGGCCACTTCCACACCATAAGGTGACGCATCGCACTGCAGAAATAGCTCTCGTGCGGGATCTAATTGCGTTAGCACTGGCTCGGAACACACAACAGCTTGTGTTTTTCGGAAGGCATCGTTTTCGCGCTTCTCCCAAGATCATTTCGATTTCTTTTCTAGCAGATCATATAGAGGGCTCAGGAACGTGAAAAGATTATTCAAAGATTTGTTGTACAAAGAGAGATGCCTAAAATGCAGTTCCGTGCCATTGCGAGGAGTCTGTGCCAGCCTAATTGCTTTGATGCTATTCTCTGAGGAATGCAACCCAGCCGCGTCAATGATGTGTCCTAGATACACAACTGACTGCTCCCCTATTCGGCACTTGTCCGAGCGGAGCTTGATGCCGTTTTTTCTGAACCACTGCAAGACTGCTTCAAGGTTCGCAGTAGACATATCGTTCACATCTGCTATCAGGACGTCACCTAGCCTCACCGTGGTGGTCTAGTCGCTAAGGTACTCGGCTGCTAGCCCACAGGTGGCGGGATTGAATCCCAGCTGCGGCGGCTGCAATTTCGCTGGAGGCGAAAATGTTGTAGGCCCGTGTGCTCAGATTTGGATGCACGTTAAAGAACACCAGGTGGTCAACATTGCCCGAGTCTTCCACAAAGGCATCTCTCATAATATTGTAGTGGTTTTGGGACGCTAAACCCTCCATATCAATCAATCAGGACGTCATCTAGGTACGCTTGAACCACTGGAAGGCCTCGCAGAATTTCCTCGATGGTTCTTCGAAAAGTCTCAGAAGCTAAGGCTATCCCAAACGGTAGCCTATTACACAAAAGAGGCCCCTGTGAGTGCTTATAACCGCTATCTTGCGTGAATCTTCGTCTAAAAGAATTTGGTTGTAAGCGTCGCGTAGATCTAAAATGCTGAACTGCTGCCCTCCGCGAAGCGTAGCGATAATGTCGCCCACTACGGGCAGAAGATATCCCTCCATTTCACATACTGGAGTAAAGTAACTTTGAAATCACCACAGATGTGGACTTGTCCGTCACGTTTCAGCACGGGTACCACGGGGGTTGCGCATTCAAATAGAAAGCTGGCGTAATGATGCCTTCGCCAACGGGTCACTCTAGCTCGGTGGACACTTTGTCAAGCAAAGCAAAAGGAAGTTTTCTTGCTTACAGAATTTTCTGGTTGTTCCGTCTTTTACACGAAGCCTTACTGGTGGTACCTTCATGGCTCCCAGGCTCTCCACAAAAAGGTCTCTGTACTGTTGCATCAAGGCTTCAGCTGCTGGACATTCCAGCTTCCTGTCAGATGAGAGGGACGAGATGTGCTAAAGCTGTGCCCCTCGGGTCTCGAGCATCTGCAACATGTCACGGCCACAAAGACTAGGACCTCCGCAGTCTAACGCAACGAGATCGCGGTCAACTGTTGCATACTTGTATGAAGCTTGCATTTTGACAACAGCCTGCACTGGCATCTTTCCAAGATAGCATGACAGACTTATTGCTGCTTTAGGAAGCGGTGGCCGCTTATGAAGACAGTTTCCGTATATCACTTTGGACAACACGGAGACAGGTGAGCCTGTGTCGATTATGATATTCGGTGGCACTCCGTTCCATGTAACCCATTTGTGTAGGGGCGGAACCAGGCTCCCCTTACTATTCACTGACAATGTTTGTAGTGCATTACACTCGTTACCTTCACTTTCTGCTGAACTGTTATTGCGAAGGCTCTGTTGGTGGGGACCGTCTGTATGCATACTCGTGCCAAGTGACCTTGATGGTCACGTGTGTAGCACCTGCGCCATCGCAATGCGTATTCCGTGGCATGATAACTATGTTTGCCACAGCAGCTGCAGTGCTATGATAAGCTGTTCGGTTCTCTTCGGCTGATTTCATTTTGCCCGTTATGCTTCACGCTGAACAACCCGATGGTGTGACCTTGCCTGTTCTTCTGTTGAGACCCTAACTTCGCATTTCCGGTTGCTAGGGCTAATGCTTGCTGCTCCTGCCAGCGTCAAGTCTTTTTTTGCTGGTAGTTGTTTCTGCAGGGTTTTCCACCACACTCCACAAACGATGCGATCACTCAGCGTTCGCTCTAACAATGAAGAGAAGTTGCAGTTATGAGGTAGCTTGCGAGTCTCGACGATAAACGCCTGCACGCACTGTCCTTCTTGTTGGTTTCTGTGAAAGAACTTCAAACTTTCTTACATCTCGTTCGGTGATGAATCATAATGCTCGGTCTAGCTTGCCACAACTTCTTGATAGCTCAGCGAGCTCGGATTTCGGGGTGAGATTCCTCCCGCACAGAATTTCAATGGTCCTCAATTCTAACGCTACCACCAACAAGGCCCTTTTCTTCGCGTCGTCAGTCACCTCATTTGCTTCGGAGTAGGCATCAATCTTAACAAGACACACTTTCTACTCATCTGTATCCTCTGCAAGGTCCGGAAGCTTCAGGGCCACGGTTGCACGTGGGCTGATGGGTGTCTTCGTCTCGGTTTCGTGGCAGGCACCCTGCTTAGGTGGATAAGTGGGTATTCTCGTCTCCACTGTTACGTGGGCGGTGGCACAGCTGCTTCAGCAGTAAACGAGACGGTCAGATCATGTCAACAGAAAAGCCGCTAGTTTTACTTACACTCGTGAATACATAGGAAAGTAAAGGGGAGAGGGAAGGGAGCGAAGGATTGCGCACTTGAAGATAGCGCACATGTGCACTTGAAAGCTTCAGGCATGTCATTGAGTAGGTTACCGCACACTCATTATTAGCAAACGCGCAATCGTAGTTTTTGCACAATAATAATCTGTGCAAATTTCGTTAATGTACTGACAAGATGTAATACCTCAGGTTGAGTCATTTAGGTGTTTATATGTAACTGACACCAAAAATACATACCCGGAGTCCCCATAAAAAACAATGCTGCTAAGAGAGCACGTGCAGTAGGGATGCTGCGTACACTTAGCAATAACCATGTGGTTTGCTAGAAACGTGCTTGTCATGATTTATTGCATCTATTCTCGAGAGATGTTAGAGCTCAGCGCCATTTTGTTTTATGGCGCACCGGCCTATAAAGTTCGACCAGTGGTTCTGTTTGAAGGTTAATCATTACGATTGTGCCTGCAGCGACCTAAATATGCTCCGAACAATATTTTATATGAAGAATCGTTTCCTGTTCTTTCTAACCAAAAAAATTTATATTTTAACCGTAAGAAGGGTCCTAAAAATTTATGCATCACCTCAGAGGAGGTCACAATATGTGCTAATTAACAAGCAGGCCTCAATTTTCAACCACAAATGGTCTATATTGTGGTGCATCCCGGTTATTAGGGTCGAGGCTTCTCTTATTTTAATGGGGCACGGACGTAGCAGAGCGGCGGGTGCGCTGAAGACGTTTAATTGTGCTCGGCTTCCTTGGCTCGCGTCTAGTCGGTGTTACCCGCCCACCGTCTGCAAAGACGGATGGACAGATGGACGCTGCGCACCACTCATCATCACTCAGTCTAATAATTATGCTGCGATTTTTTTTTGCACAGACATTTTCGGACTCGTTAAAAGTTCTCTTTTGGGAAGTACTTTTACTCAATTCCGAAGATACAAATAGCATTGAATTTTAGAGTATATATTTGAAAAGCACTGAACGTTTACCATATCCATATATAAATGACATTTTGGAAGCTCATTTGGTCGATCTAGAAACAACCATTATGATAGCGACTGTTGCTTCTGTTTGTGAACAGGCGTGGGAATTGTATCATCCTCTCAAGATTGGGCTTTCTCGATTGGGATGCCCCACTATACACATATTAACCAAGCTGAGCTACTATCAAGAGTCCTAGCGTTGGCCGAATCACCCCATGCTATATCAACGGCGGTTGTTATAGGAGGTTGCCTCTTGTCTGTGCTGCCGTAGGCGCACTTAATATTTCACGTACCTTAGAGACATTCTACTCGCTCATTCCTATAGACAATGGTGACTCGTTGAACTACTTTGGATACACGGCTAGTAGAGACTTAGCTCTCAATGGGCATGCAGATACACAAGCAATATCTTCCTATGATGCTCCTGTTTTGCCTACGTCGGAGTATATCACAGCAGCGTGTTTTGAAAAGCGTACGACGGCCAATTGCCTCGAAAGCTCTCCTATGTTTTCATCACAATTTTTATACTTGAAGTTTTCTTGGAAGAGTAGGTGGTGTTTATCTAGAAAGGAGGAAATAGTAATTGAAATGCTCCATTGTCGAGTTCCTTCACTGAACTTTTACTTTCTGAGGTTAGGTCTGGCACAGGCGCCTTTATACCTTCACTGTAATCCGAATAAATTTCTTGAGCAGTTCTTGACATGCCGAAGATATACAATTCAAAGGAGAAAACTACCAAACGAACCCCTCCGAAAGTTGTGCCTAAACTTGTCACTTCCAGTGATTCTTTCCTTCGGCCCAATCACATTTGGTTTTAGCCACAGGAGCGTTTTCAACTCTGTTACAAAATTTTTGTGAGAGTTTAAAAGAATGAATTGTAAGTATTCTAAATTCAGTTGTATCAGGTACAGATGTTCTTGTTTGTGTGTTGTACGTTATTTCTAAAGCTAATTTTTGTTTTGAAATCTTATAATGTTAAGTATTACCTGTTGTGCCGAGTAAATTCAACCTGTTCCTTCAAAAAATGAATTAGTTTCGAAAGAAAGGCACCGTCCAATTCATGATCTATTGCCCCGAGTGGGTTCCGCCCAGCTGTTGAGGAACCAACCAACGGACTAAATGCACTACTTACCTGCCGTTCACCATATTTAAAATGTGGGGACTAATACTTTTTTTACTTTTCTTCAGCTATAACTGAACATTGTCAAGTATTTCTGATAATCTTGTACTTTTCATTGTAACTCATATGCGTGATATCTGATATATGTTACGTATACACTCTAAGAAGTAAAGATTGATCATTGAGTTTGCGCCCGCAGTCACTGAACACACAAAGCCCCTTACCATTCTAACAATACATAACAGGCATTTCCGGCGATTCCGACATTTATTTTATATCCCCAATAAAAGAGCTAGAACTAGCCGAGTGTGTTTGGCAAAACGCCACTACGTCATAAGTGACGTCACTTCTAGTAACGTGAGTCAGAAGAGCGTCTTCGAAAGCAAGTAAAGATTAGGATTATACTGATAATTTATTAAAAAATGCCCTGGAAGAATGGAAAAGTCAGAGTGCTGAGACATATATAGAATAAACGTCATACACATGATATTGGAAACAATGCGAAGTGAAGAACTAAAAAGATAGCTTGAACTGATAAAGCAAGCGCATCATAAATGAGAGCGAACAAAGCAAATACAGGAACAAGCTGTTTAAAAAGACGGTTAGCATACAATAAATGCGAGATACGCTGTAAATAAATTGGGGGAGACAGAAGACCTAATAATATAGATAGATGTGGCAACTAACCAAGGGACTGCTTGGGGAAGTCGAGCACCAAGGAGGCTGAGTCCGCCAAAAGGCCTGTCATGACGAACACCGGTCCACGCTCGCAGCACGCCATGCCTGTCTCGTTAGCACCGCAGTGTCCATCCCTACCGTGGAGAATCCGGTGCATCTGCAGAAGGTAGCCGTCTTGTGTGGCAACCTCGTGTGTCTCCAACGGGTAGCCCTTGCTGCGAACCAGCGTCTCCTGCATTTCGTACAGCATCCAACGATGGCGTGCATCCCTACGAGGCCACGGGTGTAGACGGACATACTTTTGGGCAGGTGGTTCGGGAGGGGTGCATGGGGTACCATTAGGATTTGATTAGCAGCAGGACAGGCAAGTCATCAATTTGTGCTCCCTTATTTTCTCATTCCCCTCCCCTAGCGTGCGGTAGCAATGTGCACATAGTTAACGTCCCTAGCTTTCGTAATTTTCTTCTCTCTCTCTCTCTCTAGTGCTCTTTGTGTCTTGGTGATAATGGTTTCGGGAGGGGGTGCGTGGGTCAGCGAGCCACTTCCTGGCTAGAATACTCTATCAGGCAGACGTCATGATTGCCCTTCGTCGGTGGTGTTAAGACGCATGCGCTCGGCACACCGACTCAAGTGTCTCTACAAATTAACTCCCATCCAGCGGCGCTCTCTTGGAGCTGCAGAAGTTAACAGCACTGTTATTGTTTGTCAAACTCCCGTCATTGTAAATGCAGTTCAGCTGAAAGATGCAGCTGTTGATCAATTTTTCAAAATAATTTACTTTCGGTGCATTTATTCACGAGTGCGGACTGATTATTCGGTTGAAGCATCACACAGAACCCACGAGTAGACTGCAAGAAAAAAAGTAAGCAAGCAATCACTAAGCAAACAAAAATAGATGAGCGCAGTTTGTACTAAGTCATGCGAAGCTGTGTCACAGAACAGCTGGAAGGAACCCATACTACATATCGCCAGTTCCCTGCAACACTGTGAAGGTTATCAGGCCCTTCATCAGTAGGAAGGACGACCAGAACCTCGTCTTCCCAGTGTTTGCTCACACACGCAGGGCAAGCAAACGCCGCGACACACTTACGCCAGGACCGAATGGCTGGGCACCACGAAAGTGCAGAATCACCACTCACAATGAGACAAGTGGGCCGTAGGGTTTGGAGAATTTTAAGTGGCAGGAAAGCAGGATGGTGCGCAAAGGACGTGGCGAGCGGAAGGCTGTCATCGAACCGGGCGCTGAATATTGGTTGTTGGTTTAGGGCTTGGAACATCGAAGATTTCAACCGTCCAGAGCCTCCTGCCATCACATTCATGTGCGGCAAGACGAGAGCTTCTATACGTTAACTCCGGCCAGGGCCTGCCGCCTTCAGTGCTCACAGACAAGCAACAGCAGTCCGGCTGTAGGTCCGAGCTGTTCATCCAGCAGCCTGGCGAGGTTTTAGGGGCGAAGCTCCTTAGAGCGGCACCAGTTCGTCCCTCGAAGTCGTAGTCGTAGTCGTAGTGTGTAAGGAGTGTTACATTTTGACTTCCAAGGTGGTGCCGGTGGGAGAATTTTCCTGTGCTTTGTTGAACAATAAAAAAATGGCAGCATATCTATGGAGTAAATGATGGAGAGTGGGACGAAGCATTCAGTCCGTCTATTCTTTCTTGCTTCCGTCCGTCCATGCGTGCGTCTGTGTGGCCACCCGTGCGTCCATCCGCATGTCCGTGCGTGCGTCTGTTCGTGCGTCCGCACGTCCATCTGTGCATTCGTCCCTACGTTCGTCCATCCATCCGCTCCTGTGTCGGTCCATGCGTCTATCCGTCCATGCAGTCATCTGTGCGTCCGTCCATACATCTGTCGGTGTGTCCGTTTGTCCACCTATTCAACACTCCAAGTACCACCATCTCGCATCTTTTCATCACATATTCTTCATATAGAAGCACCGCCATCCAGCGGATATTCCAAGGATTGAACAAGAGGAGGCACACGCACACTTTCTTACGGCTTCCGCTTCGTGTCTACTTCTCACCTTTACCCACCTTGAGTTAATGGTATATACCAGTTCACTGTACTCAAGGCACTGCGGCCCAACGCTCGCTAAACCTTTCTGAAACCAAGGAGGTTACGCCCAGCGAGTTTAGCGTAGCAACCCTCTCTTGTCAGATAGTGCTCAGTGCACATGCCAATGGCTGCTAAGGGGGAATGAGAGGCAGGAGAATTCGGCTTTTAGTTAACGCGCATGCTGTGAATATTTCATTCTTCAACAACGCACAGAAGATAACTCTCACCGGCACCACCTTGGAGGTCAAAATGGAAGTCTGGTTACACACTACGACTACTACGACGACTGCAAGGGACGAACGGGTGCTGCTATAAGGAGCTTCGCCGTTAAAAAATCTGATTGATTGAGGGGTGTCTGTGGAAGCAGGCCTTTGGTGTGTAGCGACACCACGGACCAGAGCTAACGGGGGGGGGGGGTGCTTCGACTCCCTCCCACTGCCAAACCATGTGTGGCAGAGCTATGTCTGGAGAAAACAGGATCGTGGGGGTTGAGCCGACGCTGGGTGCTTAGACCTCTACGGCCCCCCGGCAGAAGCAACACACACCAGTGGCCCCGGCTTCACGTAGACGGCTCCCCTGGGTTGATCCACCCAGGGGAAATCGGCAATCACCTTTTCCTGTCTATCTCTCTTCTGATATTCGTCTTTTCTCTCTTCTAATCTTTCCTGTCAACTCCTCACTTCTGTTTACTTCCATCTTCCAGGTGGCAAGAGTTAATCTTCTTTATGTGCCCCCTCTTGGTCACATAATATTGGGTTATAGTGGTTTTGTACAGCTGGCGTTGCCATGCCTTTTAATAATTTTGCTGACGCATCCCTGTGTTGGGCTCGATGGTGGACAACTGGTATATCTGCTTTTTTATTGTTCAACTACGCACAGAAGAAATCTCCCACCGGAACCACCTTGGAGGTCAATATGTAATACGGGTTACATACTACTACTACGACTACGAGGGGCGAACGGGAGCTTCTATCAGGAGCTTCGTCTCTAAACGTTCGCGGCGTGTGCGTTAACTAAAAGCCGAATTCTCCTGTCTTTCATTTCCTATTAGCAGCCATTGGCATGTACATTGAACACAATCTTACAGGAAAAGGTTGGTACATTATACTCGCTGGGCGTAACCTCCTTGGTTTTAGAAAGGTTTAGCGTGCGTTGGGCCACAGTGCCATGAATACAGTGAACTAGTATATACCATGAACTCGAGGTGGTTAAAGGTGGGAAGTAGATTTGAAGCGCAAGCCGTAAGAAAGTGTGCGTATGCCACCTATCGTTTAGTCCTTGGAATGTCCACTGGATGGCGGTGCTTCTATATGAGAAATATGTGATGAAAAGATGCGAGATAGTGGTACTTGGAGTGTTGAATAGAAGAACGAACGGACACAAAGATAGATGCATAGATGGACGCATGAACGGACGCAGGGGCAGATGCATGGACGATAGCAGGGACGGACACACGAACAGACACACGCACGGACGGGCGGATGGACGCATGGACGGTCACAAAAACGGACGCATGGACGGATGGAAGCAAGAACGAATTGACGGAAGGATGCTTCGCCGCACTCTCCTTCATTCACTCCGTAGATATGCTGCCATTTTATATGACTTCACGACGCGTCGCTCAGCCACAAACAAACGTTCCTTTGCCATGACCATTGAAACCGCGTTTGCAACACCAACAGCCAAGACTCTTCATGGTTGGCGAGACAAAACTCTCACCTTTCTCCACTCCTCCGCTCAACCACGTTCGCATTGTGTAGTTTAGCTGTATGAACTCAACTGGTATTGTGTTTGTAATGAAGAGGGTTTTACCGTATATATTCAACCTTTTAAAAGATACTTTGTTTTTTGCTATTTTTGTGTGTTTACCTAAGTAAAGATTTCGTGTGAATTCTGGTAAAACATACGGTTTTGACCTTTACGGCTCTCATAGGCTCTTACCTAGAGAGAGAAAGAGAGAGAGGTAAACTTTACTATGTTGCCGACAGGTTCTTGTCTGGGCTCCCACCTAGGATCTAACGGAAAGACCGTATCTCCCGGCAGCTTCATTTGCCTGCTGGATCTCCCATAGTTGCTTCTCCAGGTCCGAACTAAGCAGTGCAGCCTGCCAACGCATGCGAAGGTTTTTATTGGTGGCTGTGACCCCAGGATTTTTTATAATGCTGGGCATTCTCATTGAATAGCGTCAACAGTGGCTCTGGTACTGCAGTGCTGGCCGAGATTAGAACTATAGACGTCGGTATATATGTGGTGAAGGCACGACAGAGATATTAATAACATAAAAAGAACCTGCACCACAAGTTGGCCCACGCAGAGGCAGGACAAAGCTCTTTGTTCGCGCTGGATTTCATCGCGAGTACGATCGGTGGTGACCGCCCCTGTTTGCACAGTGACAAGAGTAATCGCAGTTTCAGGAGAGGTGGTCTTTTTGGTGGACATTTAGCCCACGTTGATTTCCCTCGGCCAGCATTGAAACCATTATCATGCCGTTAAAATTTGAAGCGCCTCCACAGATTTGGTACGTATGGCCACACTTGCAGTATGTGTAGAATGTTTAATGTGTTTTGGCAGTTCAATAGACACAAACGTAAGAATATTGTATTTCGTTGGCTTATCTGTGTTGTCCAGGGTGATCTTTATATTCTGAACGTTCACGACATTTTGCTATTTCGATTCATTAAGCAGCTCAGCTTCAGTTAGGTCTATGAGATCGTCATCAGGGACAACACCTTGAACGGTATTTATTTATTTAATTATTAAAAATACCTTTTTAATTTAAATAATAAATATTTATTATTAAAGAAATTATTGCAGGGAGGAATACACAACGTAAAATACACTTACACAAAGAGAACTACTCAAAAACAAGATGGTCACAAAAAGATATAAAGAATGCAACTATGACGGTAGCTATGTCTCTGAAAAATGTTTCAGTGTGGCAGTCAGCAACCTCCTGTGGGAGCCAATTCCACTGGAAGATTGCGAGCAGAAAAAGGAAGTTTTGATAAATATTTGTTCTGCAAAAAATTTCATTTGATTTTAGATGGTGGTCAGGTTTATTGGATAAAAAAATGGGGAGGCGAAAGGTTAAACTTTTCATCTATTTTGATGAACCCATCACTTGTTTTGAATAGCATTTCTAATCTCGAGTGTTGCCGACGTATTACCAACAAATTCTACCCTAACCT